GAGTTGAAGGTCGTACTGAGCAATCCCCAGGGCTGTACTTTGGGGAAGTACCTGAAGGTCTGTCGCGTCAAAGTACTGGATGGAGACCCCTTTCCAAACAGTGACTATGCTGAGGTTGTGAATGCAGGTCTGCACGCGGTCGAGGAGATCAACCCAGTACCACTCTTCTTGGACTTTTGCAAGCTGATGCTTCAGATACCTGGGAACTCTTGGCGATTTGCTGTGACCTTGCTCCTGGACCAGCTTAAAAATGCATATGTTTGGTTTGGGCTTGTCGCTTCCGTCTACATGGTGAACGTGATCTTTGGTGGAGAAGACGCAGAAGACAGGCTAGTCATCCCGGGCGATGCCGTGGGGACGGCCAAGTTGCTCGGTTTGATGTATATAGGCCTCCCCTTGCTCTTGCACTTCTGCAAAGAAGCCAAGACGAGAATGGACATTGCGGGGCGTTGCAGTTTCTATTTGCAGACCAGCCTGATGCGGAAGTACATGAACTTCAGCGAGGACTCTAGGGCAGCAGTCTCGCCAAGCGAAGTTCAGAGGATCGTCGGCGCAAAAGCGACGGAGCTTTCGGCCAGCCTGGACAACATGTCATCCATGCTAGAGACGCTCGGAAGGTTGGTCATGCTGAACTCCTTCGCGGTTTCCAGCGATCCTGGCATGCTTTGGGCCGTGGTCGCAATGCCTGTGGTCATGACTTTCTGGGTGCTCCTGCGACAGAGGTGGTTGACAAAGCCTGAGGAAGACAGTCCCTACAAGAGGAGGGTCGCTGACCTGGTAGGTTCTATCAGCGAATACTACCCTCTAATAGCTGCCTACTTCCAGCGACCTGCTATGAACGAAGAGTTCGCAGAGCGCGTGACTAAACTCTCCGAGGTCCAGGAACCTTTGGGAATCTATGCAATGCGCAGCGAGTTCTTTTTCGCTTGGTTGGGGCCTTTGTTTGCTGGATTCTACCTGTGCTTCTATGCTCAGCAAGTGATCGATCACCAGCTTTCCTTGGGAACATTTTTAGCGACTATCTCCGTTTTCAAGGAGGTCGCCTCGAACTTCGCAGATGGCTTTTCGGTGATGAAGAGCGTTCTTTCTAAGTTTGAGCCCTTACTCGACATCGCCGTTTTCTTCAATCGGTCCACCGATGTGAGAGATTTGAAAGAGTCGGTGAACAGGCGGATTACAGAGACCAATCAGCAGCGGACTCGGCTGTTGCAGCTTTCAACGCCAACCCCTCCCGACATGGTCCGCACTGACATGATTCCAATTCATTTGGAAAACGTCTCTTTCAACGCTGGAGGGCAAAGGGAACTCCTGCGCAATGTGAATATATCGGTCGAGCAGGGAAAGCTGATAGCCTTGCAAGGTGAGCATGGATCAGGAAAAACGAAGCTGATCAGATTGCTGGCCGGTGGACTTACACCGACCAGTGGCACGGTGATTATGCCCTCACATTTGCGATGCCTGCTGGTGACGCACCAGGTCGTCGTGATGAATACCTCTCCTTTGCAGAACCTCTTCTTTGGCGATCCTCTCGCACTCGCACAGGACGAAGATCGCCAGCGCGTGATGCGAATTCTGGACAAGCTGCGGATGTCGCGAACGCGAGAGTTCGCTGAAACCGAAGTTAGTATTTTGCAGGAGCCTGTTTCGGAAGAGGAGGCGGTGGACACTGGCTGTTGCGGCACAAGTGGGAAGGTCGAGCCACAACCTCATGAGCAATGGACGCCGCCCCAAGGCAGTAAGCGAGACCAGAGATTGCAGTCAGTCTTGAGCGGTTGGCAGGATGCCTTGTCCTTCCAGGAAAAGGCAAAGCTGCACATTGCACGCGCCCTGGTTGTGAATCCCGAAATGCTTGTGCTTGAGAAGCCGCTCATGAATTTCGACGAACGAGAGTCCCAGCTGGTCCAAAGCATTCTCAGAGAGCACGTCTCCAATCGAGGTGGGGATTTCATGTTAGGGTTGCACTGTTTGAGGTGTCGTCTTATAACCAGAGATCCATATCATGTCTGGTGCTAGATTCGATTAGAGCCCCTTCTTTTCTTTCTGAACCTCCCAGGTGTGGCACTTCCTGTAGAATCCCGCGACAAACGACGGCCGCGGACTTGCTTCTACAGTGCCGAGCGTGAAGATGGCTCTCAGATTGATGTTGTCTGGAAATGTGGAAAGGGCAATGTGGTTGCGGAGAACCCCACGGAACAGGCTCCAAAACCCCTGAAAGGCAAAAAGCAAATGTCATCTCCGAAATCTGCGGTCACTGCCGACAGCGTCTAAACGGACAGCCGATTGCAGTGAATGGTTGCAGTGTAGTTTTACGAGTCTCACCCGCACGGTTGCAGGCCGGGCGAATGATAGAAAACTTTCGCAGAAGATCGAGTGCGAACGGCCGAGCAGTCGATGGCAGTCGTAGTAATTAGAACAGAACTCTCCACGCCGAGCCGGAAGTACTTCGTAGTAGTATCCACTGATAGTTCCCATAGAACTATGCCGTGTTGGAATGGTTAAGGCCCCTGAATACACCCCTTGTTTTTTCTCCAAACCCTCCTCTGACTCCAAGTATAGGGCCCTATTGGAAAACCGCCTCTCTCTTTTGTCTCAGTAAGGCCCCCAGACGATACAATCCCGAAGCCCTACCCCCCAAATTTGAATGCTGAAACCCAGATATAATCCCCAGACCTGTGAGGATCCCTGCCTGACTTGTGCGAGTTGTGACATTCGAAACCCTTTAGAAGGTTTCGGATTAGGGTCTAGGGTTTGGGGTTATGGGCTAGTGTTGTTTTGGCGGTCTTGAACTCGCTTTGGCTTCACTTCTCACCGGACCTCGAACCACATGCCTCGCCCGAGCTGTCCGAGTGTGAGAGCCGAAAGCCCAAAACCCAAAAACTAAACCCAAAACCCCTAAACCCCAAAACCCCAAAACCCCTAAACCCCAAAACCCCTAAACCCCAAAACCCCAAGCCGAAAGGCGGACGAACCCATGGTGCGCGCTGCAGCTCTCGAGGCCTTTGCTCTCTTCCGCGACGAGGGCCCCCCGGACCTGGACTAGAGTAGCTTTTCGTGGGTTTCCGCGAATTGGGGTTCATAGTTCTATAGGGTTTATAAAGGTTTATCAGGGCTAGGGTCTTATGAGGTTTATTTTTGTGTCTGAGATTTGTGCCAGAACTAGGTGCTTGTCGGGGTTTTGGGTCTCGGGTTGGGTGTATGGCTTTCTGTGGATTTGGGTTTGGCCTCTTGCATGGAGTTCAGAGGGTGCAGGGCCCTTCCTACTGGTAGGAGGGTGGGCACGGCAAGTGGCACTTGAGACGGGTGACGTTTTAGAATTTAAAAAAGAAGCAGTGACAATAGCGGTATGAGTTCATAGCGATGATGGCAGGGAATGTGGGCGCAGGCCCTCATTCATTTGTCGGAATGGAATGTCGGAATGCACGTAATATCTACTCGGAGGCGTGCTACGATTGATAACATACTGAAAAGGCGCAGAATTCCTGAAACGCTGTGTTGGTCGTTTGGCATGGGACGAAAGCAACAACCAAGACACACAAACACACAGACACACGCGCACACACACACACAAGGGCGCCCGCGCACACACACACACACACACCCACACAGAGGCAGAGACACAGACAGAGACAGACAAACCGTGAAGATATTGCGTTTGAAACAGTTTCAAGCCTGCTGAGGGATTAGGGTTGAGAAGCCCCAAAAGTCCTTTATCAAAACCCTCAATAAATCCGCACCGCCAGCAGCCGCAGCAGCCCCTTCAAGTGCCTTCGGCATTCTGCAGCCGAGGGAAAAACTATTTGGCTGACGTGGAGCTGCTTCGGAGCGATCCAAAGGATCCTGTGTTGGCATTCATGTGTCACGACTGGCAGGGAAACAGAAGTACTCGCAGCTGTGCTCTCTGCATCTGGACCCTGCGATGGTCATAGTATGTAAGGGTAGTAGCGTTGACTTAGTAGTGGTTGCGTAGCTCCGTTTTGACTTGCTTCCGAGCAAATCAAGGAAAGTGTTCGAGCTGCTGCAGACCGGTGCATTCTGGCCCTCACTGCCAACTGAGCTTGCTGAGCGAGCCGAGTTCCAGCTTGTGGCGCCTCAGGGATTCGGGTTTGTGGCTTTTGCGATTTAGGAACAGAGCTACCCGAAAGCACTAAATATGATTTTCAATCCTGGTTGGCGACACTTTGCAACGTGCATTTTGTCTTGATGGATAGCGCAAACAAAGTCTTAAATTGATACTCATGATAGACAGTTTAGGGTTCGGCGACAATCCCCGCAGTCTAGTAGGGCGGGCCAGTCACCAGGTGTAGAAAGCTCTACATTCATGGTCCTCTTTAATTTCCAGACCGCCTTGATCTGAAAAGTAAAGAGTTATAAAGCTACACGTGTTACACGCAAATGTCGAACAGCTCTAGGACCAGACATTTCCCTCAGCATTGCTCCCGCGTCGTGATAGGCACATCTCTACACTTCAGCTTTTTGCCAGACTCTGCTTCAGCCAGCCGTAGTTTCTGTTTCGACAGCCGTTGTTGCCTCTTCGACTTCGTTTATCTGCGCTGAACGAAAAGTGCTGCAGCTCTGGGATGTAAGATCTGCGATTTCAAGTCAAGGCGTTTGGTTTAGAGTTTAGAGTTAAATGCCGTTGGAGTAGATGGTGTGCAATTGCGACATCTCGAACTCGTTCACGGCAGCCATCGCTTGCCATAACCTGGCTGACAGATAAAGTGCATTGCAACCCTCCGCACTCCATCTTTGTCGGCCTGACAGAGTTTCCATCGAGGGTGGAGGTGGACCTCTTGGAATGGTCTCTCCTGTGTCCCATCCCAGTCTGTATTCCCGGTATGCCAGCCGACTGGCAACTTTTGTGGTCAACTCTTGAGACTAGCGACAGCTGTTACAAAATAAACATGAATACTGGTAAAACTGATGTTGTTACGAAAATGACAGCTGTAGTCACCAGACTCGTAAGAACCACATCAGCAAAATGACCCCTCAAAACAATTCAGGTTTGTCGGCTTAGACGAGCTTGGTGGCGCATCGTACGAAGTGGCTGCGCTGCGAGAAGTAATAGCTTTGTCGGCAAAGGCCCGGTCGTCGGTTGTCTAATTCTTCTGTGTCGTGAACAGTCTTCGTGTAAGGCTGAGCCCGAATTTCTCCATTGTGCAACGACCCCAAGCCGCCAAAGATCGTTTCAAGGGGCGGGCTGAGCTTCTCGAGGAAAAGCTTCTGCTTGAAGGGTCTTGAAGCCTTGAGCCATGAGTATCTGGCATATTGATCCTCAGGCGGTTGCCAACAAGCTGCATGTTCCTCTATGCGGAAAACTCCATCTAAGGAGATGGCATCCTTCAAGGCAACAGTGTTGCTTGGGCGCAGCCACATACACGTGGCAGTCCACTCTTGTGAAGACGGGTTCTTCAGAGATCCGAAAGAATCAAAGCAAGGACAGTAGTTGGTAGTCACCTGGTAGTCTCAGTTCCCAGCGTGAAAATGTGGTTTATGTAGGAGAGGTAGTAGTAGTAGTAGTAGTAGTAGTAGTAGTAGAAGTAGAAGTAGAAGTAGAAGTAGAAGTAGAAGTAGAAGTAGAAGTAGTAAGTAGTAGTAGTAGTAGTAGTAGTAGTAGTAGTAGTAGTAGTAGCAGTAGTAGTAGTAGTAGAAGTAGTAGTAGTAGTAGGAGTAGCAGTAGCAGAAG